AGTTTTATACATTGATTTAGTTTAAGTATGTATTCAGAAAAAAAACTGGCTCTGGCTATTAAAACTCATACATATACACACACATATCAGAGTGAAATGTCTTAGAATTATACATTTAAAGTTAGCAACATTGGTCACAAAAGATGCAAACCTTGAGAACTGTGAGTCATCCCTTCATCTGAGACAGGCCCAGGTCTCACAGGAGAGGGGCAACAACAACAAGCCCTGTGATGGGCTCTTGATATTTGTCAAACTCTGTGAAGCACTCTTATGGAATCTCCACAAGCTACAAAATAGATGTCTGTCAAACCAACTCTATAATAGAAGCAGTTTTAATGAAGACAGTGAAGATCCACAGAGGTTTAGTCATTTCCTCAGCCCACCAAACTGGTGACAGATCGAGGTCCAAAATCAGGTCCTTTGGATACCAAATCCATGTCAGCCCACAATGACAATGGTGGGAGGAGATTGGGAGAAGAGAAATCAGTCCAACATGATGCAGAAGGGGAAAATAAACAGCAGTTTTATGGCAAGTGGGAAGCAAATCATTTTTAAAAGGAAACCAAAGATAGAAATGTGGGTAAGAGCCTGAAAGAATAGAAAACTACGAAATTTATACTTCCGCCTGTGGGCAATGAGGAATCATAGTTTTGGCTTTGGTATATGTGTATATTAAAGATTATCATTATGTTGTAATTATACGCATGGGAAATCATCATTACCAGTATTGTAAATCACCTAACCTCAATCAATTAATTTTTGCTGTTGTTTTTGTTTTGGGGCCACACCTTGCTGTACTCCTGCTCTGCGCTTATGGCTTACTCCTGGCAGGACTCAAAATCAGATGTGGTGGCAAGGACAAAATCCAAGGCAGACACATGCAAAGAATGCCCTACCCACTGTCACTCTGGCCCCAAACCTCAATCAATTAAAAAAACAAAGGGATAGAGAGGTACTCCAGAGGTTAAAGTGCTTGTTTATAAGATGCTGACATCAGTTTGATTCCCAGAGTAAGGAGTAGATTCTGAGCACCGTGGGCTGTGCCCCCAAAACAAAAGAGTTTAAGTAATGAACACTACCACTATCAATACTGAGCATTTATTGACTGCCAACTGAAGGTCAGGCCTTCCTCCAAGCCATCTGTATATATTGCTTTTGATGGTTACAACTTTGCAATTTAGGAACTATTTACCTCTCTTCACAAATAGAAAGGAGGGGCCAAGCTATAATACAGTTGGTAGGGCACTGCCTTGCCCACAGTCAATCCAGCTTTGATTCTCAGCATCCCTGGCAGGTCACTTGAATCCCACCAGGAGTGATCCCTGAGCACAGATCCAGGAGTAAATACGGATGGGTGTGGCTCAAAAAACAAAAACAACAATAATAAAAAAAATGAGAGGTCAAGTCACTCACTAAAATATTCCCATTAAATGGCAGAATGGGGTACAGTTCATACCTTGGTGTGTGAAATCAGTGTCAATTCCCTTCCCTCTACAACAGCACTGCAGAAAAACCTCCTTTACAAATGAGAGCCCAAAAATATGAAATGAAAAAAAAAGATAAAATAGAGACAGGGACTAGTCAGAAGCAATATAGGGACCTAGGTAAAGAAATAAATGTTTCAAATGGAGTCTCTGTGAAAATGAAAGAGGCAAACAGAGGAAATGTGTGCATGACCTTTCCTTTCATTTACTCCATCACCATGTCATGCTCTGCTACCTGATGTATAAACCAAGTCTCCATTTCGGTCTTCACGGTCTGAGCTGAGTCCTCTTGTTAGACCAACAGCAAACACTGCTTAAGATTCTTACCTACCCTGCCACAATGCTATCAGGCAAACATATTACATGATCTTCTAATCTGTTATCATTTGAAGGGCAGTCATTCTAGAGAATAAAATTAAGCTTCCACATCCAAGAAATCATATTATGCTTCACATATCAGCAGTTTTTAAAAATCTGCCTTAAATTCATATCTGTCAGATCAGAAAGACACAGATGCTGGGCTCTAATGAGCTTTGGCAAATCCTCCCTCACTATTAAAGTTCATTATAATCTCAACGATCACAGGTTTTACCAGAGAGTGATATCAAAATCGTTGGGTTGGTTTCTGTTAATATTCCACGTAAAGTAGCACAATAAATAAAGCAGTAGGACATATTTGTATTATCACTACATCTTTCAAATAAACTCAAAAGTTAAGTGGAAAGTACCTCATTTGATGGGATTTTAAGGTTAGAAGCTTTCATATTCATTTAATGACTCTAAAAAAGACCAAAAACATTTTTCATTCAAACCTTAGCCTGAGACCAAAACAATAGTACAGTGGGTAGGTCGACTGGGGTTGAATCCCCGGCACCTAAGATGTTCTCCCAAGGGCTTCCTGAGCACAGAAGCAGGAGTAATCCCTAAACAAGGCTAGGTTGCCTCCAAAACAAAACAAAAAAGAACCTTAGCTCTAGTTCTAAATATTCACAGACAAATTTCAGTATTTCAAGTAGAAAGATCAGTAGTAAAAAATACACAAATGAATTGAAATTCATAAAGATGAAACAACACAATTTTCCTGTTCATACACACAGTATTTAATAGAATAATATTCCCAACATTTTACAACATTGATTTCACACGTTCCTGAAATGAAAATCGTGCAAAAAAAATGATACTGGAGTGTCATTTACTAAACCAAAAACAAACACAGTTTGTGCACTGCCTTTGCCAGAAAAAGGTGTGTGTGTGTGTGTGTGTGTGTGTGTGTGAGAGAGAGAGAGAGAGAGAGAGAGAGAGAGAGAGAAAGCAACAATATAAATCATTCTCAATTTATAGCTCTTATTTGCTACCTGTAGTGTTTTTCACTCTATTGGACTTAACTGTATTCCTATATGCAAGATACATATGCATGTTAAAGACTCTTTTTACACATGCATAACTCAGACCAAAGCAAATAACATGGAAAATCTAGCAATCAATTCTATTCTCTAAAGGAAGGTTTACTTCAATGTCACAGTTCAGTACACAGATATGATCACCTTAATAAATCAGTCAGAAGTCAAATCCTCTTTTATCAACTGAGGTTCCCTCACAAACCCAGTTACACAAACAGCTTTATTCACTCTTTCTCCAAATCTCAGAGTTACTTCAACTAAGCCAGCTAACATTACACCTCCTACTCCAGCTGCCCATGGTTAACAGCGGTTTACTGCAGTTCCACCCTTTCCCACCTTCGGTGGCATCAGTACCTTTTTTTTTTCTATTGGAGAAAAAAAAATAAGATTAAGAGTTTAAATTCTCAAAGTATTTCAGTTACTGATCACATTAATGTGATCCAGCTCCAGGAAATATTTTTCTTAGTCTCAAGAAAAAGGAAGAAAAAAAATTGTATCTCTCCCTTCCCCCAAAGGTCTATATCTTATTTTGGATGTTGCAATTGAAAGCACTGCATTAAAGTAGAGCAAAAAAAAAAAAGTTTAAAAAATAGGTTTAAATTTTTAAACAAGTAACCTTTTCACATCACTGTTAATCATTTGCACCTGTGACTTTAATAATTCTCCTGGCAATTAGAGAAGCCAAATCTACAGGAGAGAACTAAGTAAGGGATCCCCTCAATCACAACTATTATCATGTCAAAAAAAAAGGAGAAAAAGGTATTTTGCCACATATGACACGAACAAATTTATATATGAAACAGATAGCACTCTACATTCTTAAAAACTTTGGCCTCTAAAAGTTCAATTAGAAAAAAAATCTCACTGTATTTTCAAATATTAAGTTGTTTTATTTTCTAGAAGTTGTTCAATGTTAGGCCTGGGGGGGGGGGAGGGGGAAGAAGATTCTGGAATGAACACAGTACTAGGAAGTGACAAGGGAAAGGGAAAGTTGTCTTTTGAATCATTCTGTCTCCTGAGAGATTAAGATCGTTAGCATTTACACCCCTTGACCATCTATTTCATTATAAAGGCACAAAGTGATAGTATTCTGAAAGTGCGATAGAAGTTGTTTTACATCAAGGAACAAACAAGTTTGGAAGATTCAAATAAAGTCTCTGCTTGTAGCCCATCCTCAGCAAGTACTTTTCCCTGTAGACTGAAGCTCCAGTATCATGGGAATCCTCAATGCTGAAAAGGAATTCCATGCCAACAACATCAGAACCACACCTTGTTTGATCACACAAGGAGCTGACAAGATTTGGAGGAAAATGTCCAAACATGAAGACAGGAGAGGCCAAGAATTAAAACATGCCCCCTGCACATTTAATTAGCCCCTAACACAGCTACACAGCCAATCTTGCCCTTCTATCAGCCCTGCCATCTGCAACCAGATGTTGGTCATTCTGTGGGCTCTCTGGAGGATTTTGTGTTTCAGCAGCTGCCAGCATTTTATAAAATCAGTTAATGTTGGGGAAGCATCCATTTAGTGTTTTTTTTTTCATTAAAACACTGCCAAGAGAAATATAGAATCAAACTCCCCCTACACATTGCAGAAATTTCCCAGTTTTGAAGCATCTGGGATGAAAAGTCAAAATCACCTTATCACAAAATTTGTGGGGATTGTTTTTTTTTAATTCACTTGCTTGCTGAAGAACCTTACTGAGGAGCCACTCAAAGATGATACCCACAGCTCAGGCTACTGGCGTTTATTGCATTTACCTGGTTAGGGAAGGAAGAGCTGTGAATTCTTTGGTAGTTAACTACCAAGGATCCTTCCACTTGTAGCAGGAATGAACACCCCACACACGAAAAAATTGGGACACTCAACTCCTTAGACATTTGAAAGCCTTCCAGAGGGATGAAGAAAAGAGATGTCTCCCCTGCTTCTGCCCCAGTCTTGGAACCACCAGCCCCTCTGCAATCCCTGGCAGTTCCAGGGAGAATCTCTTATTCCTTGGAACTCCAGCTCTGACCTCGGGAAAGCCCAAGTTGGTCATCCTTCTCCCCGCCTTTCCAACCTCCACACCCACCCTCTTCCCTTCCCTTCCCCACCTCCCCAAGTCCACCTCCTTACCTGATGATGTCGTCGTTGTGTCCCAGGAAGAATTTCTGGCTGTGCTCGCGGGTGTTGTAAACCACCCCGACCCCGGCCACAAAGTAGACCACCTCCTTGCCGGCCGTGTAGTACAGGTTGTTGCGGCACTGGTGACCCCGGTACCCGTACACCCACTCCAGCCGGAGCTGGCAGCTGGGAGCTGTCCGATCCGCCATGATAAGCCGACCCCACGCGCCCCCTGGCACCCCCCCACCCCCTGCGCGCGGGTCCGCGGGTCCTGCGCGCCGGGTCTGAGCCGGCCCAGGCGCTGGCTGCGGCGGACCTGCAAGGGCTCAGCGTGCAGCCCCGGGCACTGATTTCCGCGGCGACGCGCACTCCCGGCCCGGCGCGCCGGCCGCCACCATCATCCGCCGCCGCGGGAGACGCGCCGCCGCTGCTGGGGCTCGGCCGCCAGACCCCGCCGGGGGCCCCCGGCTCCCGTTCCCCGGGCCAGGCGTCTTCGGGGGCACCAGCCAGCACCGGCGCGCGCACGCCTCACTGCACCTGCGGGCTCCGGCCCCCGGGAGCGGTTCTCGGGTGGATCACCCCGCCTTTAAAGTCAAAGTCAGGGATCTGCATATCCAGGCACTGATTAATTACCCAGTTCGCTCACATAAGTTTGCAGGGCGTGGGGGGCTTCGCGGTAGACAGCGGGGTTTAGTCGGTGACAAGCTCTGATTTAACAGCGAAGCCGGGCGAGCGTTGCCATCACCGTTCTCGGATCCGAAACTGACAGTCTACATCCAGGATGAGACAGCGAGGAAAAAAAGAAAAAGATTTTTTTTTTTTTTGCATGTCTCCCAGTCCAAGGAAATAATCCCCAAACTAAACCAAGTTTCTGTGGTTGTGATTTTTTAATGTCAACTACTCTCCCTTTCTCCCTCCAGATTCATCTCCTCAAGGGTAGGATATATACCCTGATGCAGCTGGTTGGGGGTTGCTCATAGGATTTAGGGACATGGGGGTGGGTTCTTTGCTGTTTCCCCCATTAAGCCTGGGCGAATAGGCAATGATCAATTTTTTTAGATGCTCCAATTCGTTGGGTGGTATATGTGCTTAAATTTTATATTCTCCGCGAAGTCTCTATTCGAGAAAACCGTAAGAACTTAGCAGCTCTAACTAACCCCGCAACTCCGATGCAAACGACATTAAATCTTAAAAAAAAAAAAAAATCCGAGGACAAGAGACGCTAGTGCCGTGGGAAGGAGGAAAGCGCTACCGACGAACACTTCTGGTCCCGAAGACATTAGATAATTGACAAGTGGCAAAAAGCTTGTACCTCTAACCTAGAAGGGCTGCGCCGGTTAAGGGTTCCCGCGAACTCCAGGATCACGCCTTTAGCAGGGCGGGCGGGAGGCGGGGTCTCCCAGAGAACGGTCGGGGACTCGAGGCTCCCCCCACCCGACTCACAGCCTGGGCACTCGGCAGCGGCCGCCACGAGTCGGAGGACCCCGGCCCTCTGGACACCCCCGGCCCGTGCGCACCGCGTCCCCGCGGGTGTCCTGCACTCCTCCCGCACCCGAGTCAGCCTCGTCCGCGGAGCATCTCCGCTCTCTCCCCCTCTAACCTCTGCTTGCAGCGACGCCGCCTGCTCGTCCCGGATCTCGCCGAGGCGAGCCAAATCCTCTACCCGCCCTTCCCTCCCCGCCTCCCGCGCCCGAGGCTGGGCTTCGTCACTGGGTCGCCGCGGGAGCCGGGTTCCTCCAACCCTCCGGGACTCCGGGGGCGGGGCCCCCGCGCTGCGTTCGGGAACCGCGGCGGGAGGAGGGTTACTAGGCGAGCTCGGCGAGCTTGGAAACAGCGGCGCCCCGGGGCGCGGGAGCCGCCCCTCCCACTGCCTGGGCCCTTCGCCCGATGCATCCTGGGAAATGTAGTCCTCTCGACGCCAGTTCCAGAAGCAAGCGCGCGGGGCGAGACCACATCTCCCAGGATGCTGAGTGACTAGAGGAGGTCACCGAGAGGCCGTTTTCTGCGCTGGTGGAGCCTGCGGGTCTCCAGCTCTGAAGACGCTGTATCTAGGCTCGACCACGCCCGGCGTTTCCTAGTGACAGAGGCGATGGTGAGGCTTGCGTGCAGTCGTAGTGGAGGCAATCTCTGCACCCGCCTAGACTTTCTTCCGCACCCGTCGCTGAGGAGGTTCCTCATCTTTCTGTGACTGACTCAAATCTAACTTTTCTATTTCAGTTTCCCTTTTCGTTCCCTTGGGCTCCAGTTTATTTAAATCACCACTTTAAAGCGAGCAATTGCAAGTTTCGGGAAAATGCTGTGAATGTGGTCTCACTTTGCCCTCGCTGGGAATCAGCGTGTTCCTGTGAATGGACACCCAAGTTAGAGGACTTGGGTATTTTAGAATGACCAGGTTTGAGGAGGGAGCGATAATACAGCGGGTAGGGCATTTGCTTGCACGCAGCTGACCCAGGTTGCATCTCTAAGATCCCATGTAGGCCCCCCCAGGCACCACCCAGAGTGATCCCTGAGAACAAAGCCAGGAGTTCGCCCTGAGCATTGCCGTATGTGACCCCCTCACTCCCCCCACCCCCCACATAACCACATTTGGGAATTTGGAAGGTGCTCATGCCGTGAACGACCAGCCTCAGCTCTCAAACACTAGAGAAGCATCTAAAACGACTAAGTGAACTATGAAATCCAGTTTCCTGAGACAGTCACTGTCACTATCACTGTCCTCCCGTTGTTCATCGATACTGAGACAGTACTTCCAAATTTTTTTAAAATTTTTATTAGTGACAAACCAAGAGGTACAGTTGTAGACTTACAAAATTTTTTGTAAGGGTTGGGTTTCAATTATACAATGATTAAGTATCTATCCCTCCACCAGTGCCCATTTTCCACCACCACGGATCCAAGTATCCCTCCTACCCCCCATCCCCCCCCCATCCCACCCTGCCTCTGTGGCAGGGCATTCCCATTTTGTTCTCTCTCTACTTTTGGGTGCTGTGGTTTGCAAAAGAGGCATTGGGTGGCAATCATGTTTGATCTACAGTCTACTTTCAGCATGCTTCTCCCATCCTGGGAGGATCCTTCCAACACCTTTATTTGGTGTTTCCTTCTCTGAGCTGCCTTTTCCCCTAGCATGTGTGACTAGCCTCCAAACCATAGAGTACACCTCCTGGTACTTATCTCTTCTATTCTTAGGTGTTAGTCTCCTATTTTGTTACTTTATGTTCCCCAGATGAATGCAATATTTCTATATCTATCCCTCTCTTTCTGACTCATTTCACTTAGCATGATGCTTTCCATGTAGTACCACTTGTATGTAAATTTCATGACATCATCTTTTCTAACAACTACATAGTACTCCATTGTGTAGATAGTACTTCCAAATTGAGGTAACAGTTGACCTACAGGCAGGGATTTAAGAGGAGGCAAAAATATGACAAAACGTTTGAAACTGTATTCCTGACTTTTTTTTATTAAATTTTATGTCATTTATATTAGTTTTAAATTTTTGAACAATTGGGTTTATGCCAATAATGCGATCTGAAGCATAAAATCACATAATTGGTATATGCCCAGTTATTCAATTTTTGGGACTGGGCTTCCTCCACCCAGATCCCCCATTTCCAGTAGGTAGGCAGTCACACCCATAAACTGCCACTGGTGCCTTGTAATCCCATCAATGGCCAAGATCCAGAGACTATAAAACAAAGCTCCCAAAGGACCTCTTCTTCTACTGTTATTGATATGCCAATAACAGTAACAATGATGGGTCTCATTCCCCTGACCCTGAAAGAGCCTCCAGTGCGGCACCGTTGGGAAGAACGAGTAAGGAGAGGCTGCTAAAATCTCAGGGATAGGATGGAGACGTTAGTGGTGCCCACTTGAGCAAAGCAATGAACAACGGGATTACAGTGACAGTGATGCCAATTATAAACTTCTTTTCTGTGCTCTCCGTGTGATCTCTCAGGTCTTCAACTACTTCAGGCTTTAATAACAGCCCCCTGAATGATAGATAAGTCTATGGACAATTAGAAGTGTCAACATTTGGATGACTAGAACTTAGTTACTGAGTACATCTAACAGCAAGAGTGATGCCAATTATAAACTTCTTTTCTGTGCTCTCCGTGTGATCTCTCAGGTCTTCAACTACTTCAGGCTTTAATAACAGCCCCCTGAATGATAGATAAGTCTATGGACAATTAGAAGTGTCAACATTTGGATGACTAGAACTTAGTTACTGAGTACATCTAACAGCAAGAGAGGCAAGAATTATACATCGTATTCTTGGAGGCACTTAATATATTAAAAATTAGGAATGTTTTACTAGGAGGAAAGTAATCTGATGTTCACCGGAAGTTTCTGCTATCCCACCCATGAGTCCCTTTTTTCAAGAAAAAAGGAAAAGTATTACCCAAGAAGTAAACAAAAGAATCAAAAAATAGGGAAGTCATGGTAAAAGGATGAGACGTGAGCATTGAAACAGTTTTTCCCATTCTTTCTTCAATGTCACCTAAGTATTTTTTCTTTTATTAAGTAAAACTATCTGATATTTTATTTTTTTAAAGAAGAAACAGAGAGATAAGATCCAATTATTAGAAAATTATTTCTATCCATTTAACCGTATCTCTGTTCAAACCATATATGCATAGAGACATTGTAATATAGTGCTCTAAAACCTAACGTGATTATACATGGAGCAGTGAGATTTAGAACAATTTGTTGTGCCATTTTGATGATTCAAAATTTTGATATGAGCATGTACCATTTTTATTAAAAACTAAGTCATTGTTCTTAAAAGTATGAATTGGAGACAATTTTTTGTTAAAATTATTTGCATAGTCATAGTATATACCCTTTGATCTACCCACACCATTGATAGTAACAATCAGTTATACATAATTAAAAGCCTGTATGATTATTGAAGGCAGAGCACATGAGAGAAGCTATTTGATCACAACAGCTCTCCAATTCACTTAGAACAGAATTTGTAGACTTGACCTCATAGTAGCACCTTAGAAATATACCACACCTTGAACCACTAAAAGTTGACCATCTCATTGTTTTGTTTTGGGGGGGGTAAGTCACAGCCAGAGGTGCTCAGGACTTACTTCTGGCTCTGAACTCGGGGATCATTCCTTATAATTATACCACACCTTGGACCACTAAAAGTTGATCATCTTATTGTCTTAAGAATGGACCAGTTAATATGAAGCACCTTCTTTATAACAATCTCTCACCTTTTTCTGTGAAGTCAGAATTCTGGGCAGAATATTTAATAGCTGATACATGATATTTTCATTCAAGATAGACTTATATTTAAGACTGTATTTCTGAATTTTTTTAATTTTCTTTCATATTAGTTTTAAATTTTTGAATAATTGGGTTGATGCCAATTATAATTTTTTTTTTTAAAATTCACTGTATCACTGTCATCCTGTTGTTCATCGATGCCTCAAGCAGGCTCCAATAATGTCTCCTTTGTCCTAGCCCTGAGATTTTAAAAAGTGCCACATTCGGGGCTCTTTCAGGGTCAGGAGAATGAGACCCATCATTGTTACTGTTTTTTGGCATATTGAATACACCACGGGAAGTTTGCCAAACTCTGCAGTGTGGGCAGGACACTTTTGGTAGTCTGCCAGGCTCTCCAGAGTAACAACTAGTTAATAAG